AAACTCAATTAGAAACAAGCTTTGTCGGTTGAAGGACCAATTCTGTAGAGCCTTTGAAACGAAACAACCTAGTTTATCTAATTCACTGCCTGCAATGATTGTCAGGTCAAATACATAGGTCAAAGTATTAGAACAGGGGCAGTCAGACTAGCGGAGTACAAAAACCTAGTAAAATCTAGATTAGTTGACCGGAATAAGACAAGAAATCTAGAGGAGAGTTCAGGCATAGCACTACATGCAATTACACACAACCACATAATAGGATGGGATAAGATGACAGTTTTAAAATCTAATACAACTAACAGGGAGGAGGGAGAGATTGATAACAGAAGCTTTGTTTATCGAATCAACACGTGTAATAGGAATGATTCAACACCTGTCCACCCAGATATCTGGAAAATTCTACTACCCCCCAAAAGGTATGTAGATGACACCTTTATTATTTGTAATAGTGATTGTAACTTAAATAATATATTAGACGTATTTAACAGTTGCCATCCGGCGATAAAATTCACACTCGAAATGGAGAACGAGTCTAGCATGCATTTCCTCGATGTGAACTTATCAAGAAGGACCGATGGAACCCTGAAAAGATCGATTTATCGCAAGCTGTCATGGAATGGTCAACTGACAAATTTCTACAGTTGGGTACCCATTGGTCGAAAACGAAACCTGATCCGGTCGCTTGCCACTCGTATTCGGCGCATATGTAGCCCTGATACTGTGGAAGATGAGTTATACATCTTGAGGAAAATCCTAATAGAAAATGGATTTCCACCACGTTTTATAGATAAGAATATTCATTCAAATCCCCAAAAACGTGAGTTATCAACCGTACCCAAGAAGACACTTTACATGAGCTTGGAATTCAAAGGGGACTTAGCTTCCGATATCATGAAACAGAGGATATCACAATCCCTGGAAAGAACATATCCTGCTGCATCCCTGAGAATAGCTTTTTCTAGTCGACCATTATTGTTCAATAACCTGAAGGACAAGATCCCGCTGTTGACCAACTCTATGTGCTTTTATCAATTCACCTGCTTGTGTGGAGCTAGGTAGATCGGTCGTTCGACACGAGTTTTGTCCAAGAGGGTGCAAGAACACTATCCTGCATGGTTACGAAAAGGTGGTAGTGGAGCAATAAGAAGCGCGATCATTGAACATCTGGTCGATAATGATCACCCTATCTCTATAGCCTCCGCCTTCAAAGTCATCTACAAGGCAAAGAGTAATCTACCCGAATCCCTAAGTACCCGAATCATCTGTATTGCTGAAGCCATCTTTGGCTATCGAAACAGAAAAGCCAGATCTCTGTGTACAGAAGAAGTTCGTTCAACCCCTCCAACTTTCATGGTCTTAATCCCTCTATGCTAAAGTATGGTAATCCCCAATCATACTTTAGCTCTACCAACTCTCCATTTTTTCATTTTTGTCTATTCAATTTGTATACTCTTCCTTATTAAGTCAATTGTTACTATTACTACTCTCACTTTTAATTGTCCCCGGTATTATTTCACTTGTTCCACTTGTCATTCTAAATCAATTCCTTTATGCAATATTAAATTCTATGCTATTAAATTTCACACAATATTACGTAACGTCTTTATTTTTTCGATTTGTCTACTAATCTTATAATTGCACACCTTTTTCAAGTTCTATCCATCCTATGAATTATTCTATATATGACATTAATTTGCTTTGCCACTTGACATTTAACTACGATTATAATCACAAACATTTTAGTTTTAATTGCACTTCATATTATTATTATTTCATGCATTCACACCTATGTTTCAATTCCCTCACCGGATTGTACAGCTTGATGATAAATTCGTTGAAAAGAGTCTCTTCGCTGAATCATTTGTTTTGATTTTCTATATACCCCAATTACGACAAATAGGAGAGAAAAAAGAAAACTATAAAACTCAAGTTTCGAAGTCGGGTGATTATAATTGATGAAATGATTATGAACAATAAATTTTGTTCGTAATATCATCCAGTAAACTGTAATACTGTTTCACTGTGTGATACATCTAATAAACGCACTAATATGCGATCAGAATGCAGATGGAAAAGAATCGTATATTTGTTAATAATGTTTTGGAAAGCATTGGAGATATTATATTAAACTGGATAATTGCCTGTCATGTTTTGTAAGAATGTCTATCGGTTACATCAAGGATAATCCGTAGGGAGATCATACCATACTCAACAGATTTATTCATATGGGTGATTGTAGATCGTGGTGCTTTAAGATTCCTACATCTAACTCTTACCTTAAACCTAAACCTTAAGAGAAAAAACTTAACTAGCGAACAAGTAGACTACCGTACCTGCCGTCACGAATAGATTTTCTCTAATGAGAGTAACTGCATCTATAGGAGTATTTATGTCTCACAAGGTTGTACCGCATCCAAAGCACCTGAGGTCCTGATGATCTGATGAAGAAGAATTAGATCTTTTTGGAAGAAATTTTCATGCAAAATGGATATTCCCCAAGATTTATTGACAAGCAAATCAAGTTGAAAGTTCAAGGACAAGAGACGTCGTCTGTGTCAAAAAAGAAACTTTACACGAACCTTGACTTTAAAAGTGATCTACTCAGTGATGTCCTTAACAGGAGAATTTCGGCTTCTTTAAGAAGAACTTTCTTAGCAAAAACGCTGAGAGTAGTGTTCCACAGTCACCCGGTGGTCTTCAGAAACCATGTGGAAAATAACTTCGCGTTGGACCTCTTCTGTGTGCGTATATTAGTTCACTTGTTCTTGCGGAGCCAGGTGTATTGGTCGTCCGACCCATGTCCTATCTAAAAGGGTTCAAGAACCCTATCTCGAATGGCTGCAAAAAGGTAATTGTGGTTCTATAGGGGGTGCGATAATCGAACATGTTGTCAATACTGGTCATTTCATCTCAATAAACGTCTGCTCCTTCAAAGTAATCTACATAAGGAATAATAACCTACCAAAGGCAATACACTTTCTTCTCTTTTGCATTGCTGAAGCCTTAGCTATTCAATCAGAAAAAGCCAGAGTTATGTATACAAAAGAGAATTATTTAGCCAATTCTACTATCTTTGTAACAACCTTGTTCTTGATTGATACTGACTTGATTTTCGTTCGTGTTTTTTGTGTATCTAACTCCTTATAAATCTTGTATTTCTTTAGAACCCTTATATAACCCTTATATATAATTTCTGTGTGCGTCTTGATTACAACTCATTCATTGAATTACTCATCTTATTACGTAACTCCAGTACACTTAGTCAAGTCTGTGTATGCACTGACTAATTATTATTATTTCCTTTGGTTCCTAGAGGAACGTAGGGCTTCAGTCGCATGTCTCCATTGTGTTCGGTTCTCTGACAACGTCTTCACCTGGCTCCACGTCTGCTCAAATGCTTTCCTCTTCTACTCTTCACATGACCTCGTCCATGTCGCCCCACCCTATCACTGACGGCCGACTCGCCGCTTCCCTTTCGGGTTCCACTCGAGCAATGGCTTGTCTAGTGATGTCACTAGATGGTTTCCTCAGGGAATAAAGAATCCACATCCATTTCTTCCTGCTTATTTGTTGCACAATCGGTTCCTAGTTGGTCGTTCCCAAAGATCCCTGTTGCTGATTGAGCGAAGGTAGCTGTTGATGAAGGTCTGTAGTTTGTTTGAGATGCTCTTTATGACGCGCTGGCCAAGTCTCTGATCCGTATAGTAGCACTGACTTCAAATTGAAGTTGAAAATCCGGATCTTATTTGTCGTGCTGATTGCTGCTGATCTCCACACACAGACTTGAGAGTAATGAAAGCTTGGCTTCCTTTGCCGATCCTCGCTGCTTTGATATCCTCATCAGTTCCGTCCGCCTGTATTTGAAACGAAGCTTCCCAGGTAGGTCGGTCGGTATGTAAAGTCGGTTGCTTCTATCAGATTTCTCCCATTTATACTGATTGTTGTCTGTTGTTGTTGCTGCTGTTGGTCAGGAGACGTAAACCATTAGAATTCAAACATCTGTATCATTTTCAAATAAAAACATTTTTGATTTCTGCCACATATATATGTACTACTGATTGATAATGAGTAGTAGGAAACCGATCACATCAATCAATAGTGGATTTTGCTAATCAGATTATGAAATAATCCCAAAAAAAACACATTGGGTCAAGCTATAGTTGCTTCTCTCAGTTTCAATGCTGGATTAATCATCACTTTTTATCCAATTAGATTCAACTCAAAGAGATGAATAATGAACTTTAGGCAATATAAAGTGGAAGAAAATGGTCATTTACTTATTATAAATACAAAAAAAAGACAGTTCGAGGTAAATTTTCATAATGAATATGCTTAATAATAATAATAATAGCTTATACTTTTATATATGGCTATTTTTGTATGCATGTACATATATATATACGTACACCTACGCAGACAAACCTACAAATGATTGAGTATATGTATACTATTTCGAATAGCCTGCGTAGGCGTACATATGTGCGACCTTGTCAATGAATGAATGAATGTATTTTATACAGTGTATGTCTTTACTTCCATATACACACCCACACTGGCAGATATACGCACACACACGCACGTGTACAGACATAAATACCTACGCACATTATATATATATCTGAATTATTAGACACACGTGCAAACCAGAAAGGAAAAATATTGTCCCTCTTTCTTCTGCTTCTTTTTTTTCTGTTGGTGAACAGAAGGAAAAATTATTTTTATTATTTTTTTTTTGTTGTTGTTGTTACTTTTGATGAATAGAGAAACATTTCGTACAATCAGAATTTTGTTTATCACATACATAAATAGAGTAGAAATTCATTCACATTAAAAGACTACTACTAATTGTATCACGGACGTTGTGTATAGGAGTTATAATAATATAGCTAAAATAGGAGCTGTAATTATTATTATTATTATTACTGTTATTATAAAGCGTTAACTCATTTCTGTAATAATAAAACATCAGGGAGTATTATATACTTAGAGAGAGAGACGGGGGGGGGAGAGAGAAATGGGGAGTGAAATCTACGCAGAGACACAGACGTAGACGCACTTGTACAACATGCACACACTCACAAGCACACAGACACACACACGCATACGCACCGGCTACTATAATCTCAACTAGACTCTATAATACACTCGAAATAATTCAGAAATTTGAAGAGTTAATAGTCTTAAAATAGAGAGAAGATAAGAAAGAAAGAAAAAAAAAAAAAAAACGAAAGGACATTGAACATTGAATATCTTCAATGATTTTTGTTTAAACTGGACAAAATACTACGAGAAATTTTGAATATATATACGTATAAATATTATCCAAGGGATCTGTAATGTCAAAGGATAATGTATCAGAATTAATTCAAAAGAATTCTTCGTCTAATCGAAACCCACCTTCTGAGGATCATCAACGTAAACACCAACAACACCAAGAACAACAACACCAACAGCAAAACCAACAAAATTTTGGATTAACTCATTTCACTACAATGACAAACAAAAAATTCTTATTTCGAAGTCATAGAACACTGAGTACATGTCTGCCAGATGAAATGTTATCAAATTCTTTAAATGCTACACATAATTCCTTGGATATACACTGTTCAAATGATGTCAGTCATATAAAATCCGGCAAACCTCGTGTTCTAATGTCACAATCATCATTTGAATTGATTACAGATAAAAGTATTCATGATGTTGATGATGAGGTAGACTGCAAGAAAAAAGACGAAATTCATTGGAATTATCCTTCTTCTTCTTCATATTGTAGTGGAAATACTAATGTTACTAGCCCTATTAATACATCAGAATGTATATCATCACCTAGTGATTATAATTCGAGTACAAGTAGTAGGAATATTCTAAGACGTCAACAGCAACAGTGTACAGCTGAAACATCATCTCTTCCACATACCTCATCATCAATATCGAATGAGTAAGTCAAATTATTGATTTTAGTGTGGGGTTATTTTTTGTTTGTTTTTAAAATCTCTTGCTGATCAATCTTTGTTGATAATTTAAAGGATATCTGAGTTTGACTCTTAGTAGGAATACCTTGGGCACTGTGGTGGTAGAGTATAACTCCATTATAGATAGATAAGATTTTACTTTGATAAGTCACACAGTGTAGTGTGACTTGTACAGTAATATAAAAGAAAAGAAGGCGTTCAGCGAAGAGACTCTTTTCGGCGAATTCATTCACTTAGCTGTACAATCGCATATTTATACAATTTTGTTTGTGTGTGTGTACATTAGATTTATAAAGTTTAGATAATTATGTAATATAAGTAATTTTTGGCTTGGAAACAAACGTTAAGATGGAAAATAAAATAGAATTGATTAAGTGAGTAGAATTCAGATGAGGTCAGGTTGGAAACAGTGTTAATGAGTGGTGTTTAAAATCAAGTAAGGGTGGGGTTAGAGAATAATACAGTTGAAAATAAGTAAGTTAATCGGATGACGTAACTCAGTTGACTAGAAATTGGACGTGGGTCAAGTTAGTAACATTGTTAATGAGGGTAGAGATTACAAAAGGGTGGGGTAGAGAATAATATAAGTGAAGATGTGAAATAATAAAATGCAAGAGACAAAATAATACAATTAGTAAGACTGAAATTAAGAAAGATTACGTCCATTGTAGATTTAATGAATGAACGAATTTCTTTTGTATGCAAAGTTCAGGATTTAGCAGATGAACTGCCATTACTTCTGCGATGTGAAGAAGTTTGATCCGTACACTTTTAGCAAGATTGCCTTGTATTCTGTAGATAACTTTGAAGTTTATTTCTGGTTTGACTTGGTGTCCAGAGTCAAGCACAATTTATTACTGCTCATAATCTCATATCAAGTCACTCGCTCACTCACACAACTTTCTTGCTTCATTTATGTACATGTGTGGAATTGACCAGATATTTGAATAAAAATCAATATGTGATAGTGTACATTTAATCCTACACCAAAAATATGGTGGAGATTTGTAGATGACACTTTCATTCACAGTGTTGAAAACAGAACATATCTCTCGATAGCTTCTTGACACATATAAACTCACTAGTAGAGGGAATAAAATTCATATTTGAAACGGAAAATAAACATGAAGGATTAGCGATGATGTTAGATTGTAAAATCAAACGAACAGAAGAAGGTAAACTGCACACTAGCGGCGTTTATAAAAAGCCAACGCATTCTGCTAATAGATATTTAGACTTTAATTCATCTCATCCGTTCGTTATCTGTCTGTGAAGGCAGGTTTAGTTAAGTGTCTAACAAATCGAGCAATACCACTAAGTAGTACAACTAAAAACCTAAACGATCAAATCAAACAGATAGAAGAATAGCTCGTTGGTATCAAATAACTATCCTATAAAATTCATTAGGAAGATCGAAAAAGGCCAAATAAAAATAAAAATAATTGTGAAACTAGTAGTGATAACATAAATAAGAGAGAATATAAGTCATCTACTCTGATACCATATAAGGAGGGATGGGACATCTGAGACCCTACGTAGGATTCTTAATAAAGCAGGAATTAGAGTGGTATTCAAACCTACAAACTCACTCAGAGACAAGCTCTGTAGGCTAAAAGACCCGGTGGACTCAATTAAACAAAATAATATAATTTACAAAATACCCTGCAATGACTGTGAGGTCAACTATGTAGGTCAAACTAGTAGATCGGGGGTAATCAGATTGGCGGAACATAAGAATTAAGGTTGACCTTTACTCGAGAAGATAAGTAATTTAGAAAAAAAGCTCAACAACTGCACTGCATGCATTAACACAAAATCACACAATAGGGTAGGAGAGGGTTAAGGTTCTAAGAAGTAATCTACGTACGTGGAGAGAGAGATTGATCACTGAATCCTGGTTCATTGAGTCTACACCCAACACATGCATCAGAAATGACTCAATGCAATTACCAGAAATATGGAAGATATTATTACCACCAGTCAGTAATCAGAGGAGGATAATAAATAATCTTAAAATTCTATTTCAATTCACATACATCATAACATTCTAACAAGTTACTTATTTTGACTATAGAAACACTCGTCTTATTTCCCATCTGATTGTATTTGATTGATAACACTAATATTATTACTTCTGAATGTACATTATCCTATACTGATTTTTATTCAAATGTCTAATCATCAATTTCGCTCATGTATATAAATGAAGGAAAAAAGTTGTGTGAGTAAGCAGCTTGATATGATTATGAGTAGCAATAATTTGTGCCCGAAAGGTGGTCATCAGTTAATATTACTGTATAACACTACACTGTGTGACTTATCAAAGTAAAATCTTATCTATAATTGACCTTCACTCACTGACTACTGCAGGTACAACATCCGACGAACCAGTTCCGAATCGAATGAATGATGCATGTTGAATCCCACCGCTAGTCCGTATTCACTAAATTATTTCTATACCTATTTGTTTATTTGGATACAAAAACTGATCCCCAGTAGGATCAAGGGTGAGTGCTGCTGAAGGGACCTAAAAATGATGTCCGAAACATCAGCCAATAAACAAACTGATATGGAATGACCTAATTCTACAGTGCTTAAGTTTTACACATGTGCCAAAGATTTACTTAACTGAGATACTTTGTTTAACAGGAAGGTTACACTAAGAATCCCTGTCAGAGTCTGTATCGTATTGTGTTGCGTCGAAACCAGCTACTTGTATGTGTCAACAAAACGCATAAATTACATTACAAAATAGTGCGGATTGATAAGATTCAAACAGCTCGGACACTAGACACTAAACTTATATTGCTGGTTACACCTTAGTGACCAATCAACATGACCATTATAGTTCCAGATGACGTCAATCCTCAAGTCGCTCAATAGTAATGACTTTGATGGCACCATTGATTAGCAAAAGTCTGAATATCAGAGGGGGCATCAGTCCCCTGACTGTTGCAGATATCTTTCGGTGATGAGTACAAATCAATAGGTGTGAAACACAGGCCACTTACGGACGGCTTCCTATCGATCACCTCTAACCTTCTAGCATTTATTCAAAAAGTGTACTGCAGTGACGAATCTCTTAGACTGGTGACCTCATTACAAAATTGACTTGGAAAATTCCGTCAACACAGAGGACTAGACGTATGCCTCTGGTTTACTGGAAAGTAATAAATCAGTAAAACAGCACAGGATTTTATCCCTTGAGATGAGATTTTTCCTAGGGAAATATTTATTGGTCTACGGTTCTTTTTCATATAATAATCACTTAATACTAGGCATCGTTTTATGTCGCTTGTTCTCTTCAACTGCACACAACCTGAAATAATTTTAATATTGAGAAAATATTCATTCAGACATCTAGAAAAACACAAAATAATTGAGCAAAGAATATCTCCCTTTCGATAATTTCCTCTTCCCGCTCTACAATTATATATTCATAGAATATTCTAGAATAGTAGTCAATAAAATTATTGGTTTAAAAAATAATATCGATTTATTAAGTAAGATAATAGTGGAATTACCACAGTTCATTAAAGATGCATAAATTATAATAAAAATAAAGATATAATAGCAAATAGAATATCAACTAAAATTAAGGAAATTTCTACAAAAAATTGAGGGTCATTCGAACCTAGATGGCTATTGGGGTAAGGACAGTGTCTGAACTAGCTTCTTTTGGACACATAAATTAGGCTTCTCAATGTGGATCCCAACAGTCAGCCTCAGCAATATGTAGTAGACGAACTCTTAAGGCGAAATTGAGATTTGTTGTTTTTCGGTAAATGACTTTGAAAGCTGCATCGTTGACATCAATCTTGTGTTCTGTATCCACAAGATGGGATAGAATAGCTCTGTGAATGGATTTTGTTTGTCCTTCTCTTAACCACTATGCAGGGTGATGTTCGGAAATCCGACGAGAAAGACGCCTGATTTTGCGGCCTATGCAACTGGCTCACTCCATATGAGCAGTTAAATTGATAGATAGGCAGTGTTTTCATTTACTCCCGAACGCTAAATAGGGTTAGGTGGTTTTGAAGACACAGTATACTATTCAGCAGCATTGAATGCAACGCACTCCTAAGGCGTTGTGTTAGTGTCTCACTGATTTTATCCTCGAGGAACTGAATTTAATATTAATAACAGCTCTGTTTTAGACAGTGTATGAGCAAATTATTATTGTTCCCTTGGGTTCCTAGTGGAACAAAAAGATTCAATTGCACGTCTCCACTAGCTTCTGTCTTCTGCTGTACTTTCCACTTGCATCCATGTTATTCCATACTGTTTCAGCTCCTCTTCACACGATCTCCTCCATGTCACCCTTGCACTGACGTCCCACTCGCCGCTTCCCTTTCAGGTTCCACTCGAGCATTGGCCTGACGCGCGATGTCACCCAGCGGCCTCCTCAGTGAGTGTCCAATCCATCTCCACTTTCTCCTGCATGATGGTTGGGTGATTGGTTCTTGTTTTGTTTGTTCACATAGTTTCTTGTTGGTGATTCTTTCTGGCGGCCATCTGATCTTCACTATAGAGCCAGCGAAGACAGCTGTTGTTGATAAAGGTCTGCAACAGGCTGTTGGAAATATTCTTTGTGACCCGTCAAGTTTCTGATCCGTATAGAAGAACTGGCTGACTTGACGTTTGTATTGAAAATCCGAATTTTGTTGTTCATGCAGGCTGAGTGACGAAGATTTCCAGATTGGTTTCAGGTATGAGCACATCGTAAATAATTATCAGTGTATTTCTATTGTGAAGTATACACTCTTCATGCAGGATCTTGAAATAAAATAGTATTCAGCAATTCATCGTGTGACGTTGCACTGTTCCATCGGAAGCAATATTCAGTCCTCTCCTTCAATTCCTTTAAGAAGTGCTTTGCACTATGTTGACAGTAGATTAACACAATTAGATGACTGAAACAGTACGAAATGGAGAAGATTGTTTGCATTATGCTAGATGGAAATTT